CTATACTTCGTATCATTGTAACTTAGAAAAAGGAAACCGCCACAGCCCCCTCGAGCCAATCAGAGACACAGAGCGAAGGTGTGTGACAAATCTGTGCAAACGAGCACTCTGAATGACATGTTGTCATGTGCCTCTCTCCAACGTGCAAATTGGCTCACCGAGACTGTAGCCTTTGCCGTTTGCCAAATTGTGATGAAACAAATTACAGTAGCTACTACTCTAATTACCCCAGGCTTTCATACATTGCGCATTTGTTCGACAAGAATATTATGTCCGCCATCACTGTGAACTCGGTTCAGCGCCTATTGGACCGGAATGCTGCATTAGCATTTGACGTGGACTGGGGACCATTCGTGAGCTTTACGCCGAATAAAAAATGGTGACAGTTGTGTTGCTTGATGGGGTTCTGCAAAGGGTCCAGTGTGTCATACGTATAGGAAGTGTCCTGCTATACAACAATGCATCCATACTATTAAACTAGATGCTCAGAGGTGTGTTTGTTTTTGCACTCAACAAGTTGCAGCAATAATTATTTCTTACTAGTGTAATATTTATTTTCGGTAGCTGGGCCTGGTTTGTGCTCATTAATATCTGTGTGCTTTGATGTTATCACGTGTGTAGGTTTAAGTATCCTCTCTGCAATGCCTACAGAGGCCCTTGGAGAGAATAAATTAATAAACAACATTTTCACATCACTGGAATTGGTTTTCGGATCCGCCACATGTTCAGGAGAGGTGGACCGAGTGCATCCCAATGCAACCAGTCTGCCAGTCTGGTATGTTCCATTAATTATTATTGAGGGCTCAGAGTTGCGAGTGTCCTTAAAGGGTCCATCCAGCACGTGCCGTGAATATGATTCTTTGTGTAGAGACTCTGAAGGCGTAAAGGCGAGCGGAAATATGTTTATCTGGTAAGTGTATCAAATATCTTTATTTTCACTTAAAAACATAATTATTGATTCTTAGAAAATGGTTCCATAACGAGTTTTTCTGCGACAGTCTTGTGTCAGGCGTCCAGTCTAGTACCTGCGCTCCTTGTTGTCGGATGACGCTCCTGGCACGTCGGAGTTCAGTTTGGTCGAGTGTCAGCTTTGACCGACAGATGCCGTCTTGTAATCATACGCCGTGTGCGGCCACTGACATTTGATGCACTGAAGCTGGCGAGCTCGCTTCTAATCCGCAAATTTTCCTGGTAGTTCTCTGCGTCAATGCAGCAAGCTCGGGCATGTAGTGCTTACGTGGCTGTGCCTTTTGCTGTAGTGTTGACTTGATGGCTGGCAACAGGCAACAGTGTTTGTTTGCTATCCAAGCCATTTCACTTCCATTTCGTAATGAAGATTTTATTCTGCATCCCGCGACCACTGCAACTTGTGTAAGCCTCGTGTGGCAAAGTGAAGTCGGGTGATGCTTGGTGTCCACTTTTGAGAACAACCAACCAATCTATTTCTTCAAGTCACTCAGCGGTATTCTCCGTCAAAGTTGGGAATTGTGTGCTTCATTGCATGGACACAGATAAATGGCGTCGGCAAATTATTAGGTATTGTCCTTGGACAACAACCAAGACCAAATCAACTGTCCTTGCATTGCCGCTCACCAGCTTTGTCGTGCTTACCTCCTGTCGAGGTAATCGGGATTAGGAGCTTCGGGGTAATGTCAGCACCAGGGGCAAAGGTCACCGAAGATAATCCTCCATGTCCCGGGGACGCTCCTCGAGACGTGGTCTAAGGTCGTTCGGCACAAACTCTTGCAGGCCAATTCATTGGTACCGGCACCTCCAGTAGACGTGGTTGGCCTCATGCAGTGGCAGCAGAGTGGTGTTCGATCGACCATTCGCAGCACCCCCGTCTTCCTCGGTGTACATTGTTCAGCAAGAACCTGCACTCGTTCTTTCCGATGTTGGGAATGCTTCGGCGTTGGGGTGTCTTGTTGAATTGCCATTGAATATTAACTGGTAGCCGGTGGTGGGATGTCGTGACTTTGTGGTATAAGTCGCCCTCGGTTCGTCAGATGCCTCTTTGCTTGAAGAAGTTTTCAGTTGAAATGCCTGTCGAACTTGTTCCGAAACAATCTCAGCAATCAAAATAAAGGCTAAGCAACTGATGGCAGAAAGTAGCTTCCTGATCTCCTCCCGTACAACAATGTGGATGATGTTACGGATGCCTGGGAGTCTGGCGTCGAAGTTGCAGCTGGATGACTCGAGTGACGAGACGCCTGGGAGTTGTTGATAGTGACAGGCTCGGCCTGCAGTGTACATTCAATGTTGGAAGTCTCGGTGATACGAACCCTTCGACTGTTGTCGTGGAGTTGCGGAGAAGGCTGCCAAAGGTGCTGTCCCTAACCTGAGGGGCTTCGGATTCTTATCTTCTCGTCTTCTGTAGCACCAGGGTTGGCGTAGGTGCTCGATTAGGCGCAAAACATCCTCCACGAAGGCAGCGACGCTCTTGTTGGGGTCGTGTCCTGGACAGAATCAGGAATTCGGCTCTCTCTCGTCAATGTTGGCTTCTGAACATGCACTTCAGCTTGATCTTGCAAACTTCCCATGACGTTGAGGAGGATTTGTGGTTCTCAAACAGGTGCCTGACAGTTTCTTCCACGAGAAGTATAGGTTCTGCTGGAGCTGGTTGTCTGTCCACCCACTGTGGCGGGAAACACGGTCACATTGTTCAATCCAGCCCACGACATCTTCATACACCATGCGTGAAAGGGCGTCGGAGTGTGAGGTGCGACAGGCATACAAACAATGATGGGAGTGGACGCGGTTCACTGCTACAAGTTTGTTATTGTTGGCTTAGTCAGCTTCGGATTTTTCTCGCAAAAGACCGAATTCCGGTGGTTCCTGCTGGTAGCAGCGACCGACTCGAATTTCAGGTTCTTCGTGGTGTATTTTCGAGGTTCGTTCTTATGGTACTTGCTCGTCTTGCAGTCTTTCTGCCGGGCTCGGGATAGTTACTAATCCACGGCTCGCCAAGGGTTTAAGACGCGGGATAGTCCGCCACCAGTGTCCCGTTATCGGGGAACTCGGCTGAGGAGCCGCCAAGGTGCACAGAGTGAAGGGTTATGGGTAAAGTACCCAGCATCTCCACCAGAACATGCGATGACAGCTGAGCATGGCCTGGAACTTTCAAAAATAGTAAATATTGATAGAAGATAGGACTGGAGCAAGCACCCGTGACAATATAACAAGACTGACAGAAGAGGGACTACCCTGACCACTAAAGAAGCTGCATTGCTTTAGTGGCATTCTGTCCGAATAAATTCTCTCCCTCGGGGTTTGGCGACTGCCGTGGGCGAACTGAACTGAAATGGATGTGGGACCACTATTCTGGTAATGAGCCGCTGCAGACTGTTGTCGCAAAGCGGCGTGAACATGTGGACTGGGTAGGTAATACGCGGAATGAAATGTCCGTACGGCTTGCAATTCGCGTAACGAGTGTTGATGAAACTTTTGTGTCAAAGAAGCGTGCGACAGGCCAGCGGAATCAATATCAACTGCAACACTTGTGCTCCGTGAAAGTGCACGTTTACGCCGGAACAATTTGGGAAGCAGCACAGCTTCACCTAAAGCATGGCACAGGAACTACCAGCTTGAAGGCAGCTCTTCGGTACGCCGACACACCTGTGCTCCGTGAAAGTGAACGTCTACGCCGGAACAATTTGGGAAGCAGCACAGCATTATTTAGCACGGCACGGCAACTACCAGCTTCAACGCAGGTCTCCGGTGCGGCGCACAACCAAAGTGAGTTTTCAGTCATTTGAACGAAGCGGCACCACGATTGCACACTGCCAAGCACGACTCACGCAATTTCCGTCGCTAAACTGTGTGTCCAGATAGATTGCACACGCTTCACTGCAGACCTCAAAAATTCCGATGGTCAACCAGAGCACAAAAACGTCGCCTTAATATTTATCCTAGTGGTATCCGAATCAATCTTAGGTCCGAGCAACGTAGGGCAGATTCTTCCGTGGTATTATCCCCGTCGGTCACCAGCGAAATGCACACCGTTCTTCCTTGTTTTCACGTTATACCTACGTCAGACACCACGCTGAACTCTGAAGTCGCTTCGACCGGCCTCATATGACGGCTTCCGCGTCTGAAATCAACTCGCCGAGACGAACGACAACCAACAAAGCATCCGACAAGCTCCGGCCCAGCTGGGGCCAGCCGCTGCATGGGCGCTGCCATCTTTCCTGTGACGCCACGTATTTGGTTTGGTCATGTGACGAGCAGTCAAATTTGCGTACAATTGCAGCCCCCTTATGGGGGTCACTTTCGAGTGCAGACCGGAACCCCGCTTTATCACTCAAAGCCCCTCTACCTCATTGGTTAAACCGGGCGTAGTCGGCTTACCGGATGTGACATCATCGTGACGTTTCGTTTTGTACCGACTACGTTCGAAACGGTATACTAGTTTCTGAGTAGGTGTCTTTCGTTAGCCATGTTTCCCAAACCGCTTCGTGGTTGGGTTATTATGCCACTTATCAACTAATTTAGTTATTGTTTTCGCCGGGAAGAGTTACCGGCAGCGCCGCGCTACACTCTTAACGGCGTACCGTCTATGGCTACCTATAGACGGATGAAACTTCTATTTTAGGAGTTACGAAGTCGTTTTTAAAGGTTTCATACATTTTCCGTTGCCTTAGAGGTTAAAGCGGCGATTCTTTTTTTGTCTAGGATCACGTTTAGTGGTTACGCTACGACTCTTGTGTTGTAACCTCTAAAACGTAACGTTGGACAAGAACGGGTAACCTTTACACGATCGAAAGGATTGTTTACTTTTGTTTCCTCCCAGAAAGAGAACTTAGAAAGGAAAATATGAAGGGAGGGTCCGACACGAGTGAGAGAGGAGGCACAATAAGAGGAGGTGTGAACCCAACCTTTTTAGTTCAACGAATTCCGAAACTATGGAGATGTAACCTCACGTGACCAGACTCCTTGGCGCCATCACTGCCTTCACCGCCGACACTTCGCTTTTGGAGGTATCGCGTATCGCGATTGTGGCCGCGCGCGGCTGTCGTGCATGGTTTCGGATCGGAACTCGTCGTCGCTGCTGTTTCATCTGGATTACTCTAAAACGACAAATCTTCACAAGGTATGCTTCACGTTTGGCTAGTGAGAAAGATGTTACACTCGACGCAGGATTGAATCTGCATCACAGCTTCGGTTCGAGTTCCTATACCGAATGTTCTTTATATCCAGCTTGGTTCTGAGTCCGAGTTGAGGTTCCAAAGGCAAGTGTCTGCTCTCGTGGACGTCGGGATCAATGCAGTCAACACCTTTTCGGATATGCACGGAAAACGCTGTACCTCCTCACATTGAGCGACACCTGAAGCAAGCTGGAGCGAAGTACCTCTTGACCAACCAGGTACGAAAGGTTTCAATATTAATTTTGTGCATTCTCTTGTGTGGGATTTCCGTTAAAAAGTTTGATGCTTCTGATGTATATGATTTATGTAAGTCGAGGCACAAAATCTACATATTGTCAGACCAATATTGATAAACGATCAGCACACCAACGATATGAAGAATTCCACAAGCTTGGTGAGTTAATTTCTTTTTTGTCTGTTCATACCGCAGGCAGAGGTGCCAGACAGGCCCACTTCGTCGGTCCATCACATATACGCAACAGCTGAGAAGACTGTGATTTACGGCCGAAAACCATGAGAACGTGTTCCACTCAGTGAAAGCCTTCGTGATCGCACTTCCGCAGCCGTTGATACTGCTCCAAAAACTGCTTTTGCCCAAGAATACTGAACCCCGAGTGTTAATGAACGGAAAGCTGAAAGCGTTGCTGGTTAAGCTGGGACAATGAAGACCTGGGTGAGCTTTGTCGAACATTACCTTGCATAAAAAGTTCATTCTTTTTGGAACATCGTCGTGAACAGGGCGTTTTAATTTTTGTTTGTAATTACTTTAAGGCTTTGACAATAAAGGGAGTAGTTCTCAACAGTTGTTGCATTATTTAAGCTGCCCAAGCGCATATCTTTATGCGGGATGTTCATATTCGCCAATCAGCGAGGCTATGTAAGCGTAAAAATGACAAGGGTCACAAATATAATACTATTGACTATAGTCAACTTTAAATGAGGGGCGATCTTAGGGCGAGGGACGTGCTTCGTGTTTAATTTTGTTGCAAAAATCTATATTAAAGGAGCGGTTAAATTGGCGAAAATGACTTCCTAAAAAGTATACATAAGTAGATACTATTTACAGACCGTATTTTTTAATCTTTACGGTGTTTTTAAGAAAAGGAGGTATTGCTACGTGGATGCAGTCTTTGCCGCATTTTTGCGGGGCTCGGCGGACAGTAGGTGAGGGGATAAATGTCCCATTTTGTTGACTAATTAATCGAAATATCTTGATTGACTTTTGAATTAAAGGCTCCATTGGCCATGCCGAAATTGCAGGGATAACGGGACCAAATATTAAAGCCTGACCCAATTTAGACAGTTCATAAAAATAAATTACAACCTTTGAGATATTTGTTGTTTCAAAGTTTGCTTTCTTTGCTTGATTCAAAACCGCTCGCAGAAAGGCGCGCCTGATTATGGTGCGTAGAAGCGTGACGCAGTTTTATCGGCTGCTCGTAACTATCTCGACGGCGTGCCTTTGGAGGACGCGCCGTTGTCAAACTTCAGTGATACTGACGGAGGGATAGAGGTAACTGCGTCACTTTCCTGCTGATTATATTCAGCTTACGCCCTTGAATTGACCGAAGGCAAATGTTTAACCATGACTATCTCAAAGATCGTTGTCTTTTCACGAATCGTCTCGATTGGGTTAGGCAGTAACCATCACTCACGTTATGACTTCAATTGCAACATGACTAATTAAGCCATTATTTAAAAGGTTAGTTATTAAATTTTGATTAATTAGTGAACATAATGTGAAGTTTATCATCTCATATAATTTCCGCCAACCAAACGAAAATACGGTGAAGAGTGCATCCACGTAGGTATTACCACCTTTTCTAGAAACAACTCTAAAGAAAAGAAAAAAAAAAGCCCCGGCGCAATGGTCGCCCACATTTTAACACCTTACAAAAAAAGAAAAAAAGACGCGTGTATGTCAGACGCTACCGTAACCTTTATGCAGGAGCTTCCGCGTGACCACTGCATAGAGGGTACAGTGTTTGCGGTTACATTGTAACTCCTATATTCAAAGGTACAAATTTGCAAAAACGTACCCTCTGCTAAAGGTTACCCCGCTAGGAGTGTACATTCTAGCTCCCGGAGGATTGCAAGCGTGCTACGCAGCGAGAGACAACGTTGGCGCGAGGAACCGGAGGTGAAGAGACTGCGAAACGAAGCTCGTGGACGTCCACGACTGTCGAGCTCCAAGTGTTGTGTACGCCTCGTTTCTATGCCACGGAGTACTTCTAAAGTTTGGTGGCGAGCGAGGAGCACGTAGCGTGAGACTGAAGACAATCGGCGTCCCTGTTTGCGTTCTGTTCGTCGCTATCGTGCGTCGTATCGGGATCCGACGCGGCTGGCTCCGCTTCCCCGAGACGCCGAACGAGAGGTAAGATGTGGAGGAAGGCCTCAGGCAGCACGGCAGGATATTCGGCGTCATTGGTTGCGTGAACTAGACGATGATCGTTACCGTCGGCCCGTCCAAGAACGATCCCACCGCCACGAAGGCGGTCTACTGTGTCGCAAGCATTTCTACGCCCTTAACGTGATGGTCGTAAGTGCGCTCGTATTACGTACTCAGAAGCAGTTCCATGTGTGTTAAAAAGAATACAGCGTAACATCGGTACGGTGTGGATATGCCATTTTATAAATAAGAAGTGCGGGCTTGCGTGCTCCGACTGCACGAGCGTGTGCTCGACGTAGTATGTCGGGACTTTTAAAATGTGCATCCTTCCGCCTGCCACATTATTTTTGTTTGAAGGTAATGGTTGATTGTCATCATATCTTGCATCTATGAAAGTGCTGAAATCATGTTAATAGTGCCAAAAGAACTTCAAAGGTTCTGGAATTGAGGCTGCTTTGTGAACCATGAGTGGCACATTCAGGTAAATTCATGTCGGTATCTCTCTCACACTTAAAGATGCGTGTCGCTGAATGCCGGGTAAGATGCATGGAGCTGCGGTACATACTGGCGGTTGTTTGTTGCAAGAATGGTGATGCTACTGAACACGACACTGCATCTACAGGTGCAGCAATGACCTGCTGGAGTTCCCTTGACAGAAGCTGTATGGTATCTTTTCTTTTCATTTACGCACATGCCAGTTTGACCGATGTGACATTAGCCACGGTATAGGGGAATGTAATAAATAACCCTGTGTCATGCGGGGTATATTGAATCTTGTAAAGAATGTTGCACATTTTTTCCTGGTTGATGCTTCAATTTACTTTGCAGCACATACAATACGTCTTGCTAGGAGCAGAACACACAGCGTTATTGTCCCTCCTCGTGGTTACTTCCTTTTAATTTAGGGGTCATGCCATGAATCTAGCGTACTACTGAAATTTTTCGCATAGTTCTTGTCCTCTCTCTTCCATCTGTGTCAGCTGATTTGCGTTAGAGTTTGGTGTAGATGTGGTCAGATACTCATACGAAGAGACCAATCGGATCACCATAATCGCGTAGGCAGGAAAATTCCTTTTCGAAGCTGTGCCCATTATTTTGGTGACAATATTTCTTTAATGCCGATACAAGAGCAATGTAGGAAACAATTTGTTTTATAGTTTTGGAATGTCCAGACACAAACGGAAGAAATCATTTGTACGACCTTGCTTCCTACTTCCACGGTCCACTATATATGTATATCTTTAAATTCCAGTGTGAGGTCGATGAGCATAATGGATGTGTTCACAAATAGTTTATGTGCTACGTTTAGAGACGGACAGTACTGCCCCCTGATATGTGTTTAGTGCTTGGCGGTGGTATCGATAGCCTTTCCATTTTATAAGCAGAAGGCATGAAATGCGTGGGACAATGACAGACAAGGCTTGCGGGTTTAGTTGCCAATCTGACAAAGGTCATCTGGCTTGGCCTTGCAAAAAGCCGAGAAATACTTTAGACCATCTTTAGATCTGTAAAGAACTATTTATAAGTGCTGACTGAACCAGAGATATTACCATTTTGAGAATTGTTTTATTTCCCCTGTGGTTTTAAGCATCCCGTTATTACATTCTGTTCCAGTTTTCCTTCTGTATTATGACCGTACATCACTCTGGCGTGTCTCTTAATGTTGGTATTGGGATTTGTGTCAGTTAAGAACACTCAAGACTTGTCTTGGTTTCTCCCTCTCTTTTAATTTTTGTCGCGGTGCTTTTTTAAGCACTTTTTGGAAAATAAAGCTTTTTGTTGTGTTTGAGACCCTTTGGTGTATGTATCCTCTTGTTTTGTACGGTATCGGGGTCTATGTTATGTTGCACCACTAGTTTATTCTGAAAGTGCTTTATTTTTTTTTTAAATGCGAAACCGTAACATAAAAAAGTAAGATGATATGAAAACATGTGTTTCATTATTTCATTCGCGAAAGTAAAAATGAGCACGTTCTAGAAAGCACAACGTACACACTAGGACATTTTTAAATCCCATGTTATGTCATTCATCTCTTATTTGAACACGTTTTACAGCACACTACCTCTAGATTGTATTTCGTAACATATCAATAAATATACATATACGAAGGCCTGCCATATTCGAGACAAGATGAAATGCAACTAAACGATCATATATAAAACATTAAAAAAAAATCTTATGGCAAAATTTTTACTGAGTTATTCCATTCAAGATGAGAGTAGTTGCTGTTTTAAGCTCTAACTGCATTGTAGGTCTAAAAGAACGGTGAGCGCGGAGTCGAGCTCGTGGAAATTTGACATACGTTGACCTGAGACACGGAAGGAAAGGAAAGGCACGTCTCCCAACATACAGCTGTTTTTGGAGGCGCTGTGTGTTGACCCTTCCTTTTACGTATCTTGTTTCTTCCCTGTCCCCGGTTATTCCTGTCAACCGATGTTTCTTGGACTCAACAGAGCAAGCAGGCGTCTTTGTCCAGGTCGTCCGCTTGCTTCTGCGCCTTCATTAGGCGCCGGGACCGTAAAGGCCCGTTCACACATTTGCGTTCGGAGCGACCACTATGCTTACGAACGAATGCAACCACTGCGACTTCAACGACAACTGTGCGCGACGTGTACACACACATGCAACCGCATGCAACCATACGAAGCAACAGCCAATGAGAAACGAGCTTCAGCTAGCTACGCTTACAAACATGGCGGACGGTTTCGTGCCCAACGCGGGGTAGCGGGGTCCTCACCGGAGCAGCCCGAGGGTTCGGCTACGGCGTACAGTCACGAAGATCTGCTGTGCGCCTACAATAGCTGTGTAAAGGCTGGTTCAGACATCTAAAACGAACCCGTTATCCGCGACTGCGTCCGTTGTGACCAGAGCGACCGGAACGATCGCTCTGCGCCGCGCGTACACTCCTGCTACCACTGCAACAAGCGCAGCGGGTCGGCAGCACGGCGATCGCCTCTCCGTTGCCGTCAGCTGTTTCAGCGGTGCCTCCAAAGAGAAGGGGACGCGCTGCCACTCACTTGCGTAACATAAAATAGACAGACCGTCTTCTATGACCTCAAGCTTTATTACTCTTTATTTCAGGATACGCTTGCAGGGTAGTGCATCAAAAAAAG